GTGGACATCCCTGCCGTGTTCCTGACCTTAGGGCAAAAGTTCTCAGTTTTTTCCCATTGAGAATGATATTTGCTGTGGGTTTTTTGTAGATGGCTTTTATGATATTGAGGTATATTCCCTCTATTCCTACACTCTGAAGAGTTTTAATCAGGAAAAAAAATGAAAGAAAGTGGATAAAGGAACTGCTGAAGTTTAGCCATAGACAGTGTTTCCACTTAGAATACTGGTTTTTTGGGAGTGTTACTGTCATTTTCTCTGTCTGTCTCTTGCACACACACATTTTTTGTTATCAGTTAAGTATGAGGATTGGTGTTGAAATAGTTTTTTTCAATAATAAAATTTCTAAGAGTAGTTAGCATATGAGTCTTAAAAATGGACATAGTATACAGCAATTCCTAATGAATCTCAGGAATCTAAGTTTGTGGTCTTTGGAACTCTGTTTGAGAAACATTTGCTTAACACCATTAATAGACTCAGGCAGTGGAAATGTATACAGTGGAAATGCATACCAGTTGATCTCAATGTTCTTCCCTCCCTCTCCACCCTGTGCTCCCCAATCTCTTCCTCCCTGTAGAAGTAACACTTCTTCCTAGGAGTTGGAATAGCAAGATTCAGTTTAAAGGGGTGTCTGGGTGAAGGGTAGTGGAGGTCAAAATATATGGTGAAATCAGTGATGATAGCCTGGATTTTGGGTTTGTTTTGACCAGTGGTTAGGTGAGGAGTTTTCCTGGGTTTTAAGTGCGATGAATCTTTGGTAACTGGTGAAAACATCCAGCTTGGCAGCAACTGGAGGTAACTAGAGGAGGTCCATTTCATTTATAGACAAATACAGGAAATCTTGAGAAAAGGATATTCTGGTACAAATCTGCAGGTAATTGGGGTGGGTGCAGGAAGGGGTATTCAGTAAAGAAAGAGACTGATTTAATTTTGGAAGTGAGTGAGACTGGGAGAGGGAAAGTTTGTGATTTGAATATTTGGAGCTTGTAAATTCCTTTATGTTGTTAATTGATGTGTAAGTGTGTGCCTCTGTTGCCCATGTCTTTGGCTGTAAAAGAAGAATGAATTTATTTCAACAAATCGCCATTGGTATGGTAGTGAGATCATTAGCATCCTCTTCATATATGGGGAGTCATATATAGTTTTAAAAAGCACCCTGAAACAAATAATACATTATGTTAATAAAAAAAATAAATAATAAAAAGCAGTGGAAGAAGATTGCTACAGAAGGGTTAAGCAAGTAAGAGTGGTGTTATGAGCTATTGGTACATTATGTTTTAGGATTTTGCTTGAATCTGAAGCCTAACTTATATATATTTTTATCCCCAATGCCTGGTGTAATGCTGGTAAATATGGCCTTTAAATGAGTGGATTAATGAATCCATAAAATTCATTTGTTTTAAAGTCTGACCTTGATTATTACCTCATATTAGTAGAGCATAGAAGAACACTTGATGCTAAATTTACTTTGAAGCTGAACAAAACCAAAAGTATCCAGATGACCACCGGGTTCTAGTACAAATTTATAACCACTAGTTTGACATAAATTGTGTGGTTGCTATTAAGAACAATAATATGGCGCCTTAGCAGATAGAAGATAACTGACTTTTGCTTGATCTCTCATGCTTTGCAAGGAGCAAGCCAAGCTGATGGGCAAGAAACAACTGGTCATGGTATATTAATGAATAGCAGAATCTTGCCGAGTTGATTATCATTGCTTAAAAACCTATTATGTTTTATTCCTGCTTCTTGTACCTTTACACACATAGTATCTCTGCATGAGGTGAGTGGTAGGGGCACAAGAGAGTAGTGTTGAATGAATGTATAGATGAGTGAATCCATATGTACTTTTGCCGGGCATAGCTTTCTTATTATTTTTATTTACCTATATTGTACTAGCATTCGAAATGACTAATTCTGTCTCACACATGCATAATATCTATTTTGGAGTTCAAATGACCCCATAGGTAGCTTCATTATACTCTTAGGATGATGATAAATAGTTGAAATTATCTGCATATCATTATGTCCTCAATACTTCTTATATTGTTGGGTCATTATCCCTCCTCTTTTCCCTGTCTCTTCTTCATGACTTGGAGGCCTTCTTTTGTCGTATTCAATCACTGATACAATTTTTCAGTGTTTAAAAAAATATTATTGACTACTAACTGTATACCATAAGCCATACTGGTTACTATGGACCATAGAGATACCTGAGACATGGCCCTTCTCAAGAAGCTCCAATCAATAGAAGATGCAGGTATATATTTATATGGCCAATAAGATGCTGTGATAAGCATAGCATAAGACAAAGCAAATATAAGGTTCTGTGTTATCATTTTGGAACGAGAATAATTATAATGGAGAGTAAGCCAGTCGAGGCAGGCTTTCCAGAGGAGTTCATTCATAAGCCAAGCCAAGAGCAGCAAGCCAAAGTGAATGACGCATATTCCAGGTAGAAGATCTGGTGTGACTGTGTGAGTTATCAGGTAGATGCCCGTGTCTCAACAGTGACAGGGAATATAGAAAGCAGAGCAAATTTAGAGACGAATCATTGAGATTAGCTCTCCATCTATCTAGAGCCAGCATATTCTTCAAAACACAGGTCTTATCTCCTCTTTTTTCTGAAGCTCTGTCATGCTACCCTAACCCAAAGTATTTTTTGCTCCATAGCATGACAGAATTATGATCTCAAGCTATAAAATCTTAGAATAGTTGATTGTATATAGAAAAAAATAACAAATGTGTTGTTATGCTTGAGTCCAAATAATCAATTTCATAAATACAGAGTAGGAGAAACAGAATAGAGCCTATAAATATGAAAAATAATTCAAAGGTTTTAGACTACTGGTAACTTAAGAGGATGTAGGGCTCCTCCAAATATTGTCCTTAATTTCAGGCTACACTAACAGCAACAGTCTTTCTGGAATGATAGAGTTGAGAAGCAGAGTGTACGATGGGAGAGTGACAGGACACTGTTATGTGTGCCTCATTTGTTAAGCCATCAGAAACCTACTCAGAGAGCAACTATGATTGTGATAGGCTCACATTCATACCATATAAAATGTAAAGAACCAAAGTACTTAACACAGAAGACAAAAGAAGAAAAATTAACTTTCCCAAATATTTGAAAGGAATTTGCAATTGATCGCAGAGAGTAGACCGAGGGCCAATGTCTGAAAGTAGAGGAAGTATTTTTGTTTAATATAAAGAAGCTGTTTTGTTTTGTTTTTGGATGGTGTTTTTTAAAGATGTAATGATCAATTTAGGATGACAATGAGTTTTTGTCATTGGAGGTATTTGAGTATGGTGAATGCTGAAGATAATTTAATCATCAGTTGGATAAGAAGGTTTTACCAAGTGTCAGTTCCCAAGTCTGTTCCATGGGTGCCCAGGGGTTCTGTAATTTTTTGTAAGGGGGTCTGCAAGGTGAAAATGATTTTCATAGTAGCATTAAGCTGTTTGCTTTTTTGACAGTGTAAATGTTTGTACTGATGGTTCAAAAGCAGTGAAAGATAAACATGCTGGTACCTCCACCCACACTTACTGGTTGTTCTAATTCTTCAGTTGCCTGGGGAAAAAAGCCACCTTTATTTAAGAGTGTATATGGGGGCACTTGGCTGGCTCAGTTGGTAGAGCATGTGACTATTGATCTCGGGGTCATGAGTTTGAGCCCCATGTTGGGCACAGAGCATACTTAAATAAATAAATAAATAAATAAATAAATAAATAAAATTTTAAAATGAGCAGCCTTAGGGGCGCCTGGGGGCCTCAGTCAGTTAAGTGTCTGCCTTTGCCTCAGGTCATGATCCTGGGGTCCTGGTATAAAGCCCTGTATTAGCTCCCTGCCCAGAGGGGAGTCTTCTCCCTCTCCCTCCACCCCTTCCCTCCTCCCCCACCCTGTGCTCTCTCTCTCAAATAAATAAATAAATAAATAAATAAATAAAATCTTTTTTAAAAAAAGAAGCTTCATTTGAAGGAACTAGTCTTTGCTAGTTAATCCTATCACCTGAAAACCTGCATTTCAAAACAGTCAGTGAATAAAAAACAGAACATAGCTATTTTTCAGATGAAATCTTTAGTTTCTATAAGGCTATCACATTTTATCTTATACAGTAGTTCTTGGCTAAACTGCTTTAATATTTAAGCAAACAATAATGTGAAAGGAATTGAAGTTCTGAGGATTAGACTCAAATTCAAGGTATGGTAGTCTACTCACACTTCTTAATGCATAGAAATATTGTATTTGGCTATTTTGAAACATCTTCACAAATCATAAAATAAAGACAAGACTAAAATAAAAAGCATCCAAATTTTTCATAAAGAATAGATTTGTGTTTCTCAATGTCTATAAAATCTTCTACTATATATTGAAAATGCAGAAGAAACTCTCCTACAAAGAAACAAATTTAGGATGAAAGGTAAAAGAAGATAATTTGGAAGAAAAGAAGCCTGAAGCCATTTTTGTGTCAAAAAGAAAAATCAAAACCTTTTATTTTGTCCCAGGACTTAATAATTCAATTGTATTTTTCCCTAAAAAAAAAAAAAAAAAAAGCCATAAACAATGATTGTATTAGTTAAATAAGTACTTTTTTTCCTTTAAAAATCTTACAACATTAGGATCAAATTACTTCCAAATTTAACTTGATTGATTTCTGAATAACACATGCCACTTTAAAATGAAATTCTTGTATTCTAGAGAGTATTACAAGCTGCCAAAAAGCAAGAGAGGAAAACTGTATTGTTTTAAAGGATGCTTGAATAAATAAATGTTTTGCAGATCGCTAATAGCCAATAACATTATTTGGAAGGTTTAGAGATGATCCGGTTTGCATTAAACATATTTACACTTTAAAATGCCTTCATGAATTAAGTCAAGCTTTACGGCAAACAGATGCTAAGAAATATGAAAATATATAGAGTTTTGCTGTATTAAGATTATCATAATCTAAGGGATTCATTTCACCAGATTTTGAATAACCACTTGGCATTATTTTTTCCAGAGAGCACAGTCAGATGAACTGGAAAAAATTGAAAAGCACGGCCGGTCCTCCAAAGACAAGGAAAATGCCAAGTCTCTGGACAAACCTGAACAGTAAGCACACCTCAGGACCTCCTAGAAGGCCACCAGGCTATGGGCAGCCTCTTTCCATTTGGAAAATGTAGTGTTTTCCGGGCATAATTGTTCTGAATGATAGGAGGATAAACATCTGTTTATATGAATTATATTTTCCTCTTAACTTGGCTTTATTTCCTTAGGTTCCTTTATGAACTGTCACTAATCCCCAACTTCTCAGAGAGAGTCTTTTGTATTCTGTTCCAGTCCACGTTTTCAGAAAGCATTTGCTCAATTCGTCGCAAACTGGAATTGCTACAGAAATTGTGTGAGGTGGGTTCTGATCCATAGGATGCTGACGATTGAGTTCTGATGTTTAATTGTGTCCAGTCATGTTCATATTTCAAAAACATTATCTTTAATGTACTGTAAGTATGCATAAATTTGCAGGATAGCAGTTCCACAGAAGAGAACATACCACGATTGGTTTCAAGATCAAAGCGAAAACTCAGAGGCGCCCACCGCCATGGGGCCCTGTTGGTAGAGTGCACTTGTTAGCTCCTATCTTCATGAATTTCTGTCCCTTCACAAACTCTTCACTTTCCATTGTCCTCTCCTACATCAGACTTCAGATTGGATGTGATGTGAAGGCATTTTATTTATTCTCCTTCCAGTTTTGGAAGGGGGTTCCAACAAATTGTTAATGATTCTATCCAAATAATCTAGGAACAGCTGTATGACTCAATAGCAGATAAATATTCTTCTGAAAACAAAGAATAAATGCTTGGCAGAAATTACCAATATTACCATTTAAAACAATTTGTCAAAAATCAATAGTACCATTCGTTCTGGTTGTGGTAAATCATTTTGAAAACTAGTAAGATGTTATTAAAGACACATTTTCAGAGGAAAGAAGACATGCAAATTCCAGCTAAGCTTTGTGTTTTGGAAGAAGTGAGTGTGCACTTTTCAGGGATAAATCTAAATTTGGAAATTAATCTTTATAACTGTGTTTTGCCAAAAATTTCTATTGCTCCAGAGGTAGGTATAATTAGGATGATGGCAATGACATTATTTTGTAGTAGTTCTCATATTACAGCCTTATTTGTTTTCAGTGCAATTATATCATAGAAATCACCTAGAGTGGTCTCTCAGTTTACAAATGTGTACCTGAATGCTTGTAGGGGGTACAGCTTCTTTTTTTTTTATTATGTTATGTTAATAACCATACATTACATCATTAGTTTTTGATGTAGTGTTCCATGATTCATTGTTTGCATATAACACCCAGTGCTCCATTCAATATGTGCCCTCTTTA